CCTGTCCTGGTCACAAGCAAAACACATATATTCGGCCCAAATTTGGCATAAATTCTGCATAAACTATATACACTTTCAGCAGTTCTACAAACATCTTCTAAGAAGACTATAAAACAGAATCTCTTTCTTTCCAGAAAATGGCTTTGGCCATCCTAAAAAATACAGCGGACTAATCCAGACGAGCCCATCAATTTGCCTAGGGAATCACTGCTTGTGCCACCAGAAAGACACAGCAGAGAGACCCTCAAAAGCTGGGCCCATGTTGTTCCATTCCATAATAGAAACTAAAACCAGAGCCACATTAGCGTTTGCTGAGGTGAAATGAATTCCTTGGTTCTACGCAGACCTTGCCTATGTATGGATGACTAGAATCAAGAGGCTACCAATATCTTCTGAGATGTCAGAAGTTAGAGAGAATCCCAGCTAAATGAAAAATACTAGAAATCCTACACAACTGGCCACAGCAAGTCCAGAGCTGTAGAATCTTCAACTCTTCAGAACTCCCCTGTCTGAGCTGTGTCTGTAGGGCCAATCATAGGCACAAATTCACTCTATAGACGCTAGTCAAACATTGGAGTAGACAGCATAACAGCCCCCAAAGATGTCTACACATGAATCCCCACAACCTGTGAATATGTTACACTAATGGTAAAGGGAATTAAAGCTGTTAATCAGGTTAAGATGGGGAGATTTTTCAGATTATGTTTCTTAAAAACAGAAAAGTGTGGCAGGAGAGGAGAGAAAAATGAAATGTGAGAAAGACATTGAAAGTCGCCATTGCTGACTTTCAAGGCAGAGGAAGGTAGAGAAGAAAGGCTTCTTGACAGAAGCCAAGAAATGCAGGTAGCCTCCAAAAACTGGAAAAGGGGGGAAAAAAAAAAACCCAAGTAAATTCTTCCCTAGAGCCTCTAGAAGGAACTGAACCCTGCCAACACCTGGATTTTTAGTCCAGTGAGACCTGTGTTGGACATCTAACCTAGAGAACTTTGTGTTGTTTTAAACTAAACCACTAAGTTTGTGATGATTTGTTCCTGCAGTAATAGGAAACTAATACAAGCACCTTCTAAGACCAGGCACTGACCCTGCCAACAGGGATGCAAAGATGCCCAGTGTTCCAGGGACACATAGTCCAGGAGGGAGAGAAAATTGTGCACACGCAGGTAAAGCAGCATGCTATGCACTAAAGTCCTGTAGCAAGCCCTGAAGGAGCCCTGAGGTGATGGTGCTCCCCTTTGCCTGGGAGAGCCAAGGAAGGCTTCCTGGAGGAGAGGAGACATTTCAACTTAACCTAGAAGCCTGATAGAAGGGGTCTGTACTGTTCTGGACTTACATGGTCTGAGGGCCTTTTATTTAGACATGAATGTTGAAGGAGGAAGCAATTTTTTATTCTCCAGGCTGGTCTAGACCCTTGACCCTCAAAGTATAGTCCAGGAGTCATATGGGAGCTTGTTAGCAATGCAGAATCTCAGGCCCAGCCCAGCCCTACCAAATGAGAATCTTCATTCAACCAAGATCCCAGGGAATTCATATGTGCCTGACAGTTTAAGAATTGCTGCCCCAAATAACAATATTCTCATCCTCACCACAGTGTGGAAAGAAAAGAAACAGGGTTCCAGAAATTGCTCACGTATACAACCCTGATAGCAGGGAGGTCCCCCAGAACATTCCTACTGCTATGTGACCTTGCTAAGAATGGTGCACTCCAGCTCTGGGTCATTTCTCAGCATCTACATAGACATCGCATACATGATCAGGCTGTACATTTCCTATGGAAACATCTGGCAGGCTTTATTTCATAAACACTTGGTTACAAACATCACCCAGTTCTTCTATTTGCTTACTTTGTAAAAGATGGGGGTCTCACTCTGTTGCCCAGGCTGGAATGCAGTGGCATGAGCCTGGCTCGCTGCAGCTCTGACATCCTGGGCTCTAGTGATCCTCTCACCTCAGGTCTTCGAACAGCTGGAACTACAGGTGCATGCCACCATACCTGGCTAATGTTTATACTTTTTTTAGAGATGGGGTTCTTGCTCTGTTACCCAGGCTGGTCTCGAACTTCTGGCCTCAAATGATCCTTCTGCCTCAGCCTCACCCATTTCTTTTTTAAAAACCTGATTTCAGCTCTAGCATTCTGATGGTGCAAAATTTTTCTCTTGCTCAGTGACCTCAATCCCATAATAATGTACTCTAAGAGCTAAATCTTCAAATTGCTGAATCTCAATTTATTTCTACCATCAGTAAAAAGAGGTCAGGGTGGCTCTGGCAAACCTAAGCCGTAGTCCTGGGAAATCCACAGATAGCACTTTATCTCTCACTGGTTTAGTGAGTCCATCCCTCCAGCCTCTTTGCTGTGCTTGAGGCACATCTCTGTTGGCTGTGGATTCTACACACTCAGAGCTGCATCATGTCCGTGGGCACCCTGGGGACACTTGCTGCAGGGTTGACATTTTGTTATGTTCCCACAGCACAACCAGGGCCAGCTTCCTGCGGGCTGGATACAGTGCAGCTCCCCAGCCCCACACTCAGAAGGGACTGAGGTTTAGTGCTCTGCAGTGGCAATCTTAAAACCCTTAATGATTGTATCTTTGAATTAATGCTTTGTAAGTCAAGTCATGTGCCAAAGACTTGGAGCCTCAGCTCCCACCATTGCACCTGCTGCCTCCCTAGCAAGGGTTCCTCAACATCCCCTCCCCTGTGCTGCCAAGTGACCATTGCCCCCTTTTCCTGTCCCCCTCACAGAGTGTTGGAGTCAGACACGCACCCCCTGCATGCCCAGGGCATCAGGATGAGGTCCTGGGCACCTATAAGTGTCTGCACTCACCCAAAACCTGTGCTTATGCCCAAAGGAGTGTGACATTCAATACCAAATTTAAAAAAATGACAGACATACAGAAGAGACAGAAACAGAGAGAGAGGCCATGAGAGAGGAAAGCTTTTCTCCTACTTTTAAAAAAATTGTAGTAAAATTTCTGTAACATAAAATTATTCTCTTAGCCATTTGAAGTGTGCTGTTCAGTGGTATTAAATACATTCACGTTGTTATCAACCCATATTCTTGTTTTTCGTTTTTTGTTTTTTTCTTTTCTGAGACAGGGTCTTGCTCAGTCACCCAAGCTGGAATGCAGTAGTGTGATCTTGGCTCATTGCAGCCTCCATCTCCTGGGCTCAAGCGATTCTCCCACCTCAGCCTCTCAAATAGCTGGGACTACAGGTGCATTCCCAGCTAAGTTTGTATTTTTAGTAGAGACAGGATTTCACCATGTTGCCCAGGCTGGTCTCAAACTCCTGGGCTCAGGCAATCTACTGCCTCGGCCTCCCAGAATGCTGAGATTACGTGAGTGAGCCACCATGCCCAACCCAAGCCATTTTCCAAACTGTTTCCTTCTTGCAACACAGTACCCATTACTCCCCATTTTCCCCTACCCCTAGCCCCTGACACACCATTCTACTGCCTATCTCTATGAATTTGACAACTGCAGGTACTTGAGGTTCTTCCATGCCATAGCATGTGTCAGAATTTCCTTTTTTTTTTTTTTTTTT